TACCTAGAGTACCGAGGCGGGCATTGCAGGCACCTTATCCAGGCGGATATACACCCCAGCTAGATAGCTATTTTTGTTTTATTTTAAATTAACAACAGAGGTATTGAGGCAAGAAAACCTTTCAGACCCCTGTTTCCATACCTTCTTAGTACATATCAGAATTCCAAAGCACACTCTTCCCACTTCAGCCCCACCACCGACGTCATATCACATTATCTAGCAACCATTCAAAGACCCTGGTTTATCGCCAGCAGTAAAGAGGTACCTCGATTAATGTATTTTTGGTACAAGGCATGTACTGAACAGGGATGTTGACCACAGATAGGTACATAAGGTACCCTCCCTCTGCCTGCCTCAATTTCAGTCGTCACTAACAGTATGTGGGTTGTTTAAATAAATAAAATATTCTTTATTGGTTATCAACTGCTTGTACTATAGATTTCTAGTGATGCCCTGTGGCCGGTGCCATATAATATGGAAAGACTCCTAGGATTATACTTACCAAAAACATGAATACAATGTTTTAAATAGATCCCCTACGAAATGATAGCAATAAAGCATAATCTTTCCTACTTCACATTGACATAATCACGAGTAGAAATAGCAATATAAAGGTTACCTTAGTTGCATAAGAAAACATGCCAACATGTTTTAGTATTCTCTGGAAGCTTTAGCCACAACGCTCTGTTTATAGACATCTACTTTCCAAACCACAATACTTTGTCCGGTCATGTACAAAGCTCCAGTCCCTCAAGAAGACTTAGAAACATAATCTATCCAACCCCCATTTCACCCTGAATGTGGTCACATATCATCAACATTGCCTTAGCATAAGCACAAGGTAGGCGATAGACTATTGTTGTTGCGCGATGGCGTTTAAAACCTCTCTGGATTCTACTCTACCTATATACAGGAATAGCCCCTTTGTTCACTCCTCGTGCCTCACAATCACCTCTCCTGGTGTAGCAACATGGAACTAGGTTTATTGAAAATAGAAAATAAGTACTCTGCTAATGGGTGTGTGGTGATAAGGATTAATGGCCCTACCCCTTGCATATGGAAACATATTCGAAATAAATCATAGAGATATGAAGCAATATCTATATCTCTTAGGGTATAGACATAACGAAGCTATATAAGTAAGTTCAACGGGCACCTTAATACCAGGAGTTATCATACAGTTCTATGTTAGCTCGTAGTGATTTTTTGTGCTAGGTATAGCAGATATCCAGGTTGCAACGGAGCTTGATTATATAGCTTAGAGCCTTTAGCCGCTGTTGCTTTTGTTACTGCCATCAGTGAATATTCTTTTTATGTTGAATGGCTAATATGCGATAGGGGTTACATTAGCTTAGAGTAACTGAAAAGAAATTATCATGAAAATATAGACACTTGAGGTCTCGGGGTTTCTCTCTATATTCCATTACCTGACAGGCGACTGTTTGTGTGCCTATTGTCTATGCCACTCTACCCCCTACCCGGAACTCTTTTCCAAATTGCGTGATCCTGGAAGCTATTAACTCGCAATGCAGTGTCTTGTAAGCTGCATAATATGTGTTATGTAGTCACAAGATGCCAAAGTGCAGAACAAACTAGAGTATCTGCATTCGACTAGCATTGTTGTTTGACCTAGCGGCTATTTGTAGGTGCGCTGGAAACAAATCTCTAACCCCTCGGTTAGCCCAGGGAACAATAGACTGTATTAATACTGGTGCCTCTCAATAGATTGAGGTGCAGAAAGTTATTAGCGATTATAGCATTGTACTTCGGGGGTTGGAGGTTGGTGGAGGTTGGTATGGGCATAATAGTGAATGGGTGTAGTGAATCAATGTTCAATGGCGGGCAAACATGTCTGGCATAACAATAGCTTAATGGGGAAATCACCAAATGCATCGTTATCATGGCAGGAGCCGAATCGCCTCTTGCACTTCATTATCTATATATTCCGCCTCTCGCACTTCACATATTGCCTCGTGCTAAGTCTCTTTTGCCCTATCCACATCGTCAGGGTATCCTACTCTTTAGCAAGTCTCTTACTTAGCTTCGAACCAATACCTAGTCTGTTTCGATATATTACTAGTCAGCTTGTATCTTGCCCAGTCCAAACCTTGCCCTTGATTGCGACCCGACCTCTTTGGCGCAACGCCAGTGCTGAATTCAAATTTACGTCGTCCTTCGAACAGCTTGTTGGCTAGCTGTGCAGTTTCTTTTCCAACAATGTCCTTCGTGAAGGTCACTCGAGCCTATGCTCAAGAGGAGCTTGAGTCTATGCCTAAAGGCATAACACAATCGGTCTGGGTAAGCCCTGTTTATGTCTTCTTTTGTAACGCCCAACTACAACACCCAAACCCAACACTGCCTGCTCACAGACTCATGATCCAAGTTGATGGCAGAAAAAGAAAAGATGGAAACTCCATATACAAGAATGCCTCAAGTTACAACATTAGAGCTGATAAATTGTCCTAGTTACCAAGGGGTATCATGACCGACGAGGAGGTTTTAGAAGGCCAGAGATCTCTAGAGCTAAGCTATAAATCCAAGGAAGGTAGGAGATATTACCTGCAAATATTTCTTGACCACCACTGATTCATTGCAAGATATCCCGGGATATACCGTCAACTCGAATGATATCGTATTGAACCCCGGAATCTGGGGTACCGCCGACTATCGTGCGAGGTTGGCTATTCACAAGCGAGCCTTGAAGTCGCCTATTCGAGAAAATACAACGCACAATTCAATCGACTGTAATATGAGTGGCGACGTACTCCCACATTTTGAAGACTCCGCCTTAAGCTTCCCTGTCTGGGGCACTCCAGCCAGTATGTTCACGAATATCACAGTCCCTGATTCACAGGGGAGCTTCTGCCCTGTCACTCCAGTACCAGCCGCCTATTATTACGAGCAGCAAAACCAGGGTATGCCTTCTCCGGTATACTTCATGGAGGACTCTCCCGTGATAGATATGAGCATGGCTATCATTCCAAGTACCCATCCGGAAGGGAAGAACCGCAATGCCAGACCCATCGTCGGACCTGGTTCAAATTACCTAGGGAATCCAAGCCTCGCCCTCAATAAACCTGCCCCCGTTGAAGACTCCCAAAATGTCCGCTTCTGGGTCACGGGGCTTCCCCCAGATACCACAGCGTCCGAATTCCTCGGCGCGATCCGCGGAGTCGGATCCGTTTTCGCAATCAACATGGTCAAGCCGCAGCTCCCGGAAGACGATAACGACAAGCGGCGGAGAGTCCGAACAGCCGCCGCGTCCATCACATTCTTCTCGGTAGATGCTGGCAAAGCCTTCATGAAGAAGACGCTGCAGTTTGGGACTTACACGGCCCAGATCGTCCCTAACCGTATCTCGACAGCTCCGATGCCTCGAGACGGTCGCTCGCGGGTTCTCCTTATCGAGGGCCACGCGGACCTGGTAAATCCAGAAAGTCTGGAGCGCCTTGCAGACGATTGGATGATTTCGTATATAACCGACTCGATTAACTATACATCGATCGGCGAGAAGAGAAATCGGGTATTCTGGGCCTTCGGAAGCTTCCGGGCTCAGGCACATGCTGTGTACCTACGGATTCGCAAAGAACTTGCAGGGAAAGTCTACGTTCGTTATGGTACCGACCCTTGCGCAGCGTTCGAAAAGAGGACACCAGCCCACAAGTGGCTGAGTAAGAAGTTGATGAACACTCGGGCGTAGACACGACTTTTGATTGGCAATGTTGTGTATAGGATGTTGACACACTCTGTTTGATAGCTTTGTCTCTATTCGTCTAATTTTCTCCAACATAGTGTTAGAAGGTTCGGCCCAGAGTGAGGACGGGCTACTGTGAGGCCACTATACGGCCGCAGCTAGGTAGTAGCAGTACAATCAATACAAATGTCATTGGGAATCTGGAATGGTCGTCCGTTCCATGCTTGTGATTTAGATGTGTAGTTCACGTAAATATAAGACCTTGACGCCGTAAATAGGTGTAGTAGAGTGAAAATAATAGAAAAATATTCAGCGAAACCAGGCCTACCCTAAAGCGTTTAACTGCTAGAGAGTGAATCACTATCATAAATTCATATTTCTTATAAAGTCATTGTCAATGAATAAAGTAATTGGGAGGACATTCGAGAGTTACTCTGGATCCCCAGATATGTTTATATTAGATACCACTATTAGATACAAACAGAAGTTCTCACTAAATTAGTATTAGAACTTTAGAATCAATATGATTAGGCTTTAGCCCCAATCCTTTACTCTAGCTGCTACCCGATAGTGCTCTAAGTGCTACCTATTTGTATTCTAGAGTTTGACCTTTGGTATTTATTTGGGGTTGGTATATGGGGTCTTGGTAGTAGGGTAAGACTTTTTTGTTTTCCTGAGCCCGTAGCATGTATGTATATAGTATCATAGGTAAGGTAGCTTACCAGGCTGACTTTAATATTGCCAAAGATAGGATGTAAACGTTGATAGTTACGTAACTAGAGAACTAGCACTGCCATTCTTATTTAGAAATTTGGAGACTTTGCAATTACAGATCATCTATGCCTGTATGTACACTGCCACATGACCATGAGACTTGCATTTCTACATGTTTACCTATATATCAGCTTCTAGAAACGCTAGCATATGAATGGTTATCTAAATGATCGTTCTTTCAGTCACGTTGGTGCCTCTGTTTCCTTTAAACTCCTGTAACGGGCACCAAAATTTCTGCTCGATATAGCATGCCTTTCACTCGTCCATATTGTCTATACCTCTTTTCTTGCGTTTACCTTCTGTCTGTAGGTGTGTGGTAGACTTTGTTCTTACGCGAGAGCTCCTAAAACCTCTCTGAACACTACCCTACCGATATACAGGAATGCCCTCTCTATTCACTCCCTCTTACGCCTCACGATTGCCTCTTCTGGTGCAGTCTTATGGTACCATCTAAACATCAATCGATAGGTCTGCTCTGGCCTCACGTCAATATACTGCCCGGTCTCGCTCGGGATGCATCAGCTGATCAGATGGTTCTATAGTGTAGTGGTTATCACGTGAGTCTTACACACTCAAGGTCTCCGGTTCGATCCCGGGTGGAACCATGGAATTTACCTTTTGCTGGGATCTCCTTTTTTGTAGGGAGGGCCCTGCCTATTTCCTCTACCTATGACTTCATATGAGTCTATGTTATTTTGATGGTTATGAATTCAACAGGGTTCAACGAAAAGTTTTAAGATGCATGAAGTGTTTGTTCTAATGTTTATTTCAGTAAGTTGGTGCTGTTGGCACACTAATGAGATCGGATCTTGGGCCAAGCCTGCACTTTAGGGACTTATGACGTATCGGGGTAGCACAATATTTGGATTCTCGAATCAACGTGCAATTAAGCGCTGGCTGTGTTTGTTGCAGCATATAAACTTAATGTGCATGGAATGACATCAAAATCGAGATTCTGGACGATGATTGACGTCGATTTAATGAATACAGCGTCATCGCTTAATGAAGAGTGTGTGGAGGATGAGGGAGAATGAGTATATAAGAAGGGCTTGTAGTAGGAAACTCTTTGAACTTCTGTTTAACCAAATTTGAAGTAAGCTACCTAATTCTTCTTCTTCTTCTTCTTCAAAAAAAAAGGTGTTATCGTTACCACTGCAGCATTTCTCCTGCAAGCAATAAACCAATTTATCACAAGTTCTGCACCCAGTTCTACATCATGGATTCTGCAGGCGCGAAGTCAACCATCTCTCGGGATATGCAAGAGATTACTCAAGGCAGAGAGGATGTTTCACATAAAGTGCAAGGACATAAAGCAAACCTGGCGAACCCGAGTGAGTAATAAATCCTCCTGAAAACGAAGTGCGAGACAAAAAGACGATATGGCTGATGCAGAATTCCAAAAGACACAAGCGAGAAGTCGAAGGAAAATAGCCGTCAGGCCATCGATAGCCTCGGTGGTGATGCTGCACACTACGGTGGCGAGGATCAGCCGCGCTCAAAGACTGCAGCTGAAGCCATAGATGGTAGTCGGGCCATGTTACGTTGAGGCTGCTGGTGTATACTCTGGGGCGGCTTTTCTGACGAAGGAGGCTTTCTCATTCTCAATTGTATGCGTACGAATGAAATCCAATCTTAATTTGCTCCCGCGGTATATCATTTTTATGTTTTATGCGTAGACCTACCCCAAGCCACATAGACCACACTAGCCACGCAGTATAAAAGCCATAATGACTAAGTACCTATTACTGCTAGGTCTACTACAAGTAAGGCCGAAAAGGCAGTTTTTCGCCTTTACAGAGACTATAATTAGTAAATACCACATTACCATACGTACGGCTGTACTTTAGGTATCAGAAGCCACTGTAATCGACCCTGATCCACCTCCGTGGTACACTTAGCGCCTCGAGCTGAAAACATGGGTACTGGATAAATCAGGGATACCTACCTAGGTAAGTACACTTACACCAGCACCTTGTCCACTCAGGATTGCATCTGTTAATTTCTTCATCTGCTTTTCGCGTCTCGCCATATGCTCCAGGTTTGGTTTTTCTACTTCATGCACTTATCATATATACCTAAGCTAGTGTCGTTTTGCCATGCTGCATTTGCGAACTTGCCTAGACATCTATTCTAACCCGAATGAAGCATGATACTCCGCGCCTGGCCGGCATTTGTGGTATGAGCCAGCGAGATGACCGGGTCTTCTGAAGTTCAGCTCCTGCAGACTAGTGTTGTGTAGAGCCCGCTACCACCACCAGACCAATAGCCCCTTACATGTGCGACCCGTTTGGGGCATCTGGGATGGGATGGCGCACTCGGGGGCGACGTGATTGGCGCTACAGCTGATGGTACTTTTTGCCTGACATGACTCTCCCTGCTCGTGGTTGAAGGCGGCCTAGGTAGAGTCTGGGCCTCGACGGCTCTACCGTTTGCGATTTCGCTTGCCGTCTAGAAACCACCTCGGGCTCTGTCGTGTCTACCTACCACATGCCTGCCTAACTCTTACATACCTACACTGCCTGAATATGTGTATCTTGACGTAAAACGCTCACGTCTCATGGTGACTTTAACATCTCTCCTAGTTATCTTGTGTTAGGGCTCACTTCATACTCAATTATACAAGAGCTAGGGTAATTACAAGGACGCCTCCGGACGGTTGGTACACCTATTTTCAAATGGAATCGTTTGCCTGGCGCTAGACTATGACTGGCAAGCAATGCTGTGTGTTGACAAGATCACGATAGCATCAGTCGCCCCTTCACGTTGAGGGAAGCGGTTTTATTAGACATATTGACTTATTGTGGCCTCGAACCGTTTCGGCCGACGTCTACCTACCTCTATCTCTCTCCGATACCTGCTCCACCCCAGCAGTCATAATAATGGTCACAATGACGAGTCTTCCGGAAGGATGGGAGTCCGACTACGATGGCACACGGTGGTTTTACCGATACACAGCGACGGGCATGATACAATACCATTTCCCGCAGCCTGGCGATGAGTTCGCAGAGTTCTTGCTCGATGCTGGGACTGGACCTTTTCAGCTTACGCCCGAAGAGAGCTTGGCAAACAAACGACGAAGCATTTCTGGATCAGACAATGATACGAAAAACGGCATTAGGACAAGCGGGAGCAAGAGGGAGAAGAAGAATATCGAAGCTATCGAGGAGGAACATGCTATGAGCGCTACCGGTTATTTTGACCCAAATAGCTTCATGTATTCCCCGGGAGGCTACAACAATATTAGCCCTCTTGGAAACGATGATGCTGGACAGACCTCTCGCATCACGCCGAATAACAATACGGCGCCTGGTATTACCCCACAAGCAGCACCTCTTTCTAAAGACAAGCCGATTTTTAACACTCTCGTAGGTCGTTCTGGAGCTGTAGGAAATGGAGAGCTCCGGATAAACACGTTGGACTCAAATGCTCACCCGGCTGCCGCTGAGCTCCCCGAAGGTAGCCAACAAATGTGGTCACCCGTCGGATACGTCGCAGAACTCGCTACACAAGACACTCTTAAGTGCGCAGAGGAACTTGCGCCTATTGAACTCGACGCAACGACAACATTCACACCGCCGCCGACCCAGAAAAAAGTATCACAGGAACCTGCTGAACTTCCTACATATCGGACTCCTACTGAGGAGAAAGCTCCTGAAATAAATCCCACACAACCCACACAGTCAGTAATGCAACCAGTGGATGCATACCCACTCGTGTCTGCTTCTTTCGCATATCCGCCGTTGAAACCTGATCTGAATCGTGTAAATAGCGTTTCGTCCCGCATTGGTTCGATCAGGAGGAAACCAATCTCGTCAGCTGCGAAACCAGTTGACCCAGCACAGAACAAGTTCCAGCCGTGGACGCCAGCGCAAGGCGCGGTTGAGCAACAACACCAACCGCAAACCAAGCCTTACGAATCCTTGCCCCAAACATCCGTCCTTCAAAACCAAGACAGTGAGCTTGGAAACATCGGCGGGAAGAACTCTGGAAATGCTGAATCGCCAATGTCAGGAGACATCCCCGATACCTTAGCGCCACCAACAGCCCCTAGTAAACCCGCACCCGTCGAATCTTCAAATCCGAATCCAGAGACCTCGTCTATCCCAACAGCTCTACAACCGGTTCACCATCAGACAAACCCATTGGTACTACCTGGAAATTCTAATCAGCAATTCATACCCGGCACGAAGGCGAGACACGACAGCATCTCGAGTTCATTGACGGGCCATGGCTTATCACACACTCCATCCGTGTTAAAACCAGGCAGCAGCCACTCAAATGCTAGCCTCCAAGGACCCGAAGGGAGCTCTAAACCAATCCCGCACCGCTTTTCCGTACAATACACCCAAGAGACTGTGATAGCACACCGTCCTTCTGAGCAAATAGCCCAGCCCAATCATGGAGGCCAACCGGGTATTATAAGAGTCAATACCTTGCCAGGTCACTTACCGTCTGCAAACCCTTCACCACCAAAAGCGAACGGCTCTCCAGGCTTTTTGCTGTTCCACGAGATACCCAATACAGATAGCCCTTCGAACCTTTCAAATCACGATACCGCGCATCATGCAGAAGAGCCTGCAAGACCTACGATCGCACCTCATACTTCTAATTCTAACCTGATAAGCCCACCGCCATCTGCCGATGACGATGAACCGATTCCCGTAGTTGCACCGTTGAATTTTATCAAACGCCATTCTTCAAAGAGTTCTGAGGTGTCATCGATTACCTCCCAAACCCAAGACTCTAGCGTTCATTCGGGCAAGCCGATTTTGACCCCTTCGGATGAGATATCTGAAGCGATTTCGGTTATCAATAATTTGACACCTCAAGGGACTCCCGGATCAAACTCGCAGCCTTTTCGCCCTCCAGTACAGACAGCCATTGGAGAGAGCAATAAGCCAGGTTCTACGCCGATGAGTGAAGCCGGCGGCCGGCCTGACAGCGCTATCAGTGTAAGGCCACAATCAATACATGCGCAATCTCCGTCACCCGTGGCAAATACGCAACAGCCCAGTCTGATTTCGCAAGTACCTGGGCAGGCATCTGTCGCTACTCCCAACGTCTTCAAGCCCACTCCAATCGGAATGGCCCCCGTCACCCAAGGCGCCGTCTCGCCAAGCAATACTGGAACCGCAACTACACAGAGTAGGCCGCCGAATACACAAGCGAATCACGATCCGCCACCCCCTATTCAGGGACAATTAATACAAAATCAGAACGCTTTACCTTCGTTCCCATCTCAGCCGGGAAATCCGGGTCAAGTGTCAGCATCGCCAGGGCCAACAAGACCTCCAGGTCATGCCTCGAACCCTTCCCTCTCGCAGATGCCCAGCGCGGTTGCACCCTCTCCTCCGCCCTCTCAGGCAAACAATATCGCGCATATAAATCAGATTCACCAACCTTCTGCCCATGGCAACTTTGCTCAATATGTGAACAACACCGGCCAACAACCGCAAGCCAATATGTCTGCCCAAGCTGTAAACCGACCTCCTCAGGCACCAGTTGCGGCACCCACGCCGCAAATGTTTCATCAACCTTATGGGCAAAACGGCGCCTCTCCCCAGCTAGTAGGTCGTCCACCCTCGACATTTGGCCATCCTCAGGC